TGAGGTAGGGGATACACAGGCAGTCGGATGCAGAGAGTACTGCGGGTTCCATCTGGAACGGCCTCTCTTGCTTCAGAAAGAAGTTCGTTACCGAGTTCTCAACCCCACGACAGTCCCTGACCATCACCCCCAAGCCCTGCGGCTGCCTGAGCCTGGGGCTGGAGGAGCTCCTGCTTCTCAGACGTGCAGCCTACAAAGTACTTTTAGGGTTGTCTGGAGGGGCTGACAAGGTGTGAGCACCCACAGGATGAGGAGCCCCGTGACGTGTGCCCGTGTGGTGGCATGGGGGTGAGGCACGTTCCCACGAACCTGCTACTGAGTGGTCCCCTCCACCACAAGGGCTCCTGGAAACAGCTGGCTCAGTGGGTAGATAGCTGCTTGGGCTACGGGGGACAGGGGACACCTCTCCCTCTGCCAAGTTCCCCTGTGCGCTCCAACCTCCCACGATCCCTACTCAAAATTAGCAGACCCTTGAGCCCTGGGGACCCTGGCCTTGGAGACTCTGGGGCTTTCAGGGCACAGGCACTGCTCCCCTCTGGCCAGCTCACCCTCCCTGCACCCCCAGTTCTGACCTGTTCAATCCCTGCCTGGCCTAACGAGGCCCATCATGTGGCTTCCACTTTCCAGAAACATACCTTCCTGCAGGTGTAACCAGTGTGTGCGACAGTGTGGGGACTGCCTGGAGGAGGCGAGCAAAGCCAGCATCCCTGCCACCCCGGGGCAACACGGAGCAAGAGCGCTCCATCTCACATGGCTCTGTGCTGGGCGCCAGTCACCTCGCCACCATCTGGGGACCATTTAAGGCAGACTAGCTTGTGCTTCCTGAATTCCGCCCCTCACAAGGACACCTTTTTACCTTGGAGGACGTGACCCTTTCTCCCAGGCCATCTTCTTCTTTTTTAATAATGTATTTATTTAATTGTATGTGTTATCATTATTTTTAATTTGACCAGAGACAGAGAGAGAAAGGGAAAGTGAGAAAACAAGTCACCAGGTCCGGGACTCGAGCTGGGGTCGGCCACGTGGGAATCTAGCACTTTTAACCACCATGCCATCTGCTGGCCCCGCAGGCCATCTTTTCTGTGGGTCACACTGGGCCTCTCGGGCCTCCCTGTCATGCACATTCCCGCAGCGTCATCTCCAATCAGGATACTAGGAGCCAAGAGCTGGCCGTGCAAAATGCCTTCTAACTCCTCCATTCCGCATCACAGCAGAAGCACCCCAGCCTGGCGCAGGGGAGAATGGTTGTGGAAAGCTCCAGAAAATATTCACGTGAGGTGTTGGGCAGACCTTAATTAAAACCAGCAAGGGCAGAAGCTTCTGAGAAGGAAGTAAATTCCCTGGCAGAATTCCTCCAGCCCTGTCCATGTCCTGTCTCTCCCCACCCCGCAGCAGGGGACCCAATCGATATGGCTACAGACTAATAACAGATCCAACCCGCCCGCATTCTGGGTGTGTGGATCAGGCCTCTTCTCGCAGGCAGACTCAGGTTAGTGCGATTTATTTTTATTCTGAGCAAATGAGTGCAATCCATTAGAGGGGCGGGAGGAAGAGGAGCGAGGGGGACCTCTCAGAAGGTCTCTTTTGTAAGCTGGGGCCTGAGGCAAACGCACTTTTCTAAAATGCATATTCCAACCAGGGATGCGGGTCTGGCGGGTCTGGCCACTTTGCCCTGATTCCTCTCCATTAGCCAATGCCCCCTGGCAGGTCAGGTGGCCAGTACAAAGGCTCACAGGGGGATGGGGTGTGCCTGATGTCAGATGGACTTCAGAGACGGGAAGCCCAGGGGATGCAGAGCATGAGGAAAGGAGCTGGGTCTGGGAGGGGTCAGCGGTGTGGACTGCAGGCTACCCCAGACGCCGCAGAGATTCGGCCCAAGCCAAGGGCCCGATCTCACGGGGCAGAACGCACAAGGCCAGCAAAGTGGAACTTTCCAATTACGGCATGAAAGAGCACTTCTTCTCTTGAAGCCCTCCCCTCAGTCCTTGCAATTAAAAACAAGCAGTTTCTAGTGGCTGACCTTTTCTCTTGAAGCCCTCCCCTCAGTACTTGGGATTAAAAACAAGCAGTTTCTAGTGGCTGACCTGCCCCACCACCCACCCCAGCAGCCAATCAACTCCCCACTGCACCTATCTCCTTTCCCAGCACGAGAGCTCTGTGCGCACCCAGGACACCGAGGAGCAAGGGCGTGCACCGGGGCCAGCCCTGCTGCACTGGAGAGGCTGCTCAGCCTGGCTCCGGGGGTGATGACCAGAAGGGACTAGAAGCCTCATCACCGGCTTCTCCGGGGTTGGGGCTCCTGGAATTAGTCTCACAACCACTTCCTCCTTCCATCCTCTCCAAACGCCACCTCATCGCAGGAGAGCCCCTCTGCCCTGGAACGGTGCTGGGGGCCTCGTCTCCCATTACCCAGGCCAGAGCCCCTGCGTTCCCAGCACACTTTGCTCTGAGAACTGAAAGCACTCTTTGGCAAGTCCTCTTTGCAAGGCAGCAGGGAGGAAGAAGAGGGGAAAATGCACATCGAGGGAGCCAGAGGACGGCTGGCCCGAGGGCCCTGCTGGCAGGCAGCGTGGAGTGTCTTCAGACGTGCTCACTCCCAGCACAGAAGCCGGCCTTGTAAAGATCACAGCTGCTGGGGATGCCGGAGTTCATATCACAGCCTATCAAAGAGGCTGGCTTCGCTCCCTCCTCTGCTTTTCTACTGAGTATAAGTGGGACGGTTCAGGGAGAGACAAGGCCGGGGCTTGTTCTGCCCGCATTAGCATGGAGGGTGGGCAGAGGCTGGAGGAGGGCAATGCACACCAACACCTACCTCGGGCAGAGTTGTTTTAGTGGGGCCGGGCCACTGGGGGTGCGCTGGGAGCTGGGGCAGCAGCTCTTGGCACAGAAGGCCTGATTCTTTCACCTCCTGCGTGGCTCTGGCTCCCCCTTCCCACAGACCACCGTGGGAGGCCGAGGCCGTGTCAGGAGGCCAAGCAACAGCTCCTCTTTATCCGATGCCAGCAGCACGGGGCCGAGCACGCACACTCTTACGTAACCCCACTGCAAAATGAAGGGCCGGAGTGGTTACCCTCTCCCTTTCCTGGGCAAAGCAGAAAGAGCTGGGAAGCGGGCCATGTGTGAGACACGGGGAGCTGGGGTCTGAACCCATCGGATGCCAGGAGCTACCCTCCTGAGGCCCATCTGCCCCACTCCTGTGCAGGCCAGGGGTGCTGTGGGGATGCCGGAGCAGTCGTCTTACAGCACCCTGACCAATGCATCCCTGCCTTTCCGCCATCTGAGGGAGTGGCACCGGCCTGCCCCGCCATGGCACACCCTATTGGCGGTCTAGACTACCAGAAGCCCCCTCCTCTGCTGTGGCCCTTTGATGCACTTTCTGATCGGGTAGGCCTGTCCCCTCCCACAACTCAGTCCTCCAGCCCGATCCCCAGGGTGTCCTCTCTTCCACTCAGATGGCCAGTAGCTCTGACCCCCTCCACTTCCTGGTCTCCACTCCTGCAGCTCAGCCTCACGGGCTCCCGCGTGGCCCCCAGCAGATCCTCTCGGGCCTCCCCTCCCTTACCACCTCCCTCTGTCCACTGTCCCCTCCTCCCTCTCTGGTACTTCTCGGCCTGCTTCCCTGGTTTCTTCTCTAACCATTGCACACTGGCGCTCCCCGGGGCTCAGCCTCAGACCCGTTCCTTCTCCCTGTGCACCCGCCGCCGACTCCCTAACGAAGCTCCACAAGGCAGAACCACGGAGCGGGGTGCCTTGCTGAGCTGTGTCCAGCACACATCCGATGGGGGAACGGACGGATGAAGAACCGTGCCATCCACACCCACATGTGTATCTGGACCCAAGGTCACCGTTCAGAGAGTCGGATGAGGCAAACTGCTTCTTTGACATCTTCTGATGTCCCCAAAGCAATTCCAACCCGAATGTGTGAGCCTTTTCACTCCAGTACTCTTCTAGTGCTCCCGCCTCGGGACGGGCACTACTGTCCTCCAGCTGCTTAGATCAGAGACCGCGGTGTCATTCCCAGCTTCCTCCGCCCTCACCGCTCATGCCATCAGCCACCGGTCAATTCTATTTCCCATGAAGCTCTCAGTGCTGCTTCTCCCGGCTCCTATCAGCACCTCCTAGTCTTCCACACGCATCCGTCCTGCCCCCCCCCGCCCCCCCGGCCCCCTTGACCTTAGGAACCCTGGCCATGTCATTCCCTTCTCGAGCTGCCATGGTGACGTCCCACTGACCTCTGGGTCCCACCCCTTCAACTCTCTGATCCCGGGACCATGTCAGTTCAGGCTGCTCCCCAAACACCGGACCACTCCGATAACCCCTCCACGCCAGAGTTCTCATGTCCTTGGCCAAAGGCAGGCCCAGAATCTTCTCTAAGCTTCTCCCTGGTCTAACCAGCAGGGATGACAGCCACGTTGCAGGACATGTGTGTGGGGTGTCTGGGCTGTTCTGGAAACTTCCGCCTGGCCTCGTTGCGAGCCTGGAGGAGCGCGTGGCCCTGATCTAGCTTCCACTGGCCTGAAAGTGACACTGGGCCATTCTTCTGGTGACCTTGCTCTCTGGAGCTGAGCAGGAGGCAGGCCTTGAACCACTGGGGTTGGCGCCCTGGAACTGTCTGGTGCTAGGTCCACACACCGTAAAAACCTGGCCCTACTGACCTGGGCCAAATCCTGTGCCGGTGTCTGGGCCCCGGAGTGCAGTCCCATGTCATACTCCATCTGGCCACCTGCTTTCCTCCCCAACAGACAATGGCATTTCATGAAATGATATTTCACCTCAAGGGAAAACAGCATCTCAACCAGCAGAAAATGAATGAGGGTTTTTGGAAACTGTCAACACTACCCTGCCTCATGTCAGCAGTAACCCAGTATGAAGGGGGAAACCTTCTTCATATAAGAACAGACATGAAGGTCAGAAAGGGAAAGCCAGCGGCTGCTCAGACACCCTCATGGCGTGCAAATGGAAAGCTGGGCTGGATGAGGGGGGGGCGGCATCTGGGCTGACCTGATGATGAAAGGGCCTCTGACTTCCAGGAGCTTCCGTTCGCTGCTGCACCTCGTCCCCTCCTCCCTCTCTGGTACTTCTCGGCCTGCTTCCCTGGTTTCTTCTCTAACCATTGCACACTGGCGCTCCCCGGGGCTCAGCCTCAGACCCGTTCCTTCTCCCTGTGCACCCGCCGCCGACTCCCTAACGAAGCTCCACAAGGCAGAACCACGGAGCGGGGTGCCTTGCTGAGCTGTGTCCAGCACACATCCGATGGGGGAACGGACAGATGAAGAACCGTGCCATCCACACCCACATGTGTATCTGGACCCAAGGTCACCGTTCAGAGAGTCGGATGAGGCAAACTGCTTCTTTGACATCTTCTGATGTCCCCAAAGCAATTCCAACCCGAATGTGTGAGCCTTTTCACTCCAGTACTCTTCTAGTGCTCCCGCCTCGGGACGGGCAGTACTGTCCTCCAGCTGCTTAGATCAGAGACCGCGGTGTCATTCCCAGCTTCCTCCGCCCTCACCGCTCATGCCATCAGCCACCGGTCAATTCTATTTCCCATGAAGCTCTCAGTGCTGCTTCTCCCGGCTCCTATCAGCACCTCCTAGTCTTCCACACGCATCCGTCCTGCCCCCCCCCGCCCCCCAGCAACATAGTCACCTTGACCGTCAGGAACCTGGCCATGTCATTCCCTTCTCGAGCTGCCATGGTGACGTCCCACTGACCTCTGGGTCCCACCCCTTCAACTCTCTGATCCCGGGACCATGTCAGTTCAGGCTGCTCCCCAAACACCGGACCACTCCGATAACCCCTCCACGCCAGAGTTCTCATGTCCTTGGCCAAAGGCAGGCCCAGAATCTTCTCTAAGCTTCTCCCTGGTCTAACCAGCAGGGATGACAGCCACGTTGCAGGACATGTGTGTGGGGTGTCTGGGCTGTTCTGGAAACTTCCGCCTGGCCTCGTTGCGAGCCTGGAGGAGCGCGTAGCCCTGATCTAGCTTTCACTGGCCTGAAAGTGACACTGGGCCATTCTTGGCCCTGATCTAGCTTCCACTGGCCTGAAAGTGACACTGGGCCATTCTTCTGGTGACCTTGCTCTCTGGAGCTGAGCAGGAGGCAGGCCTTGAACCACTGGGGTTGGCGCCCTGGAACTGTCTGGTGCTAGGTCCACACACCGTAAAAACCTGGCCCTACTGACCTGGGCCAAATCCTGTGCCGGTGTCTGGGCCCCGGAGTGCAGTCCCATGTCATACTCCATCTGGCCACCTGCTTTCCTCCCCAACAGACAATGGCATTTCATGAAATGATATTTCACCTCAAGGGAAAACAGCATCTCAACCAGCAGAAAATGAATGAGGGTTTTTGGAAACTGTCAACACTACCCTGCCTCATGTCAGCAGTAACCCAGTATGAAGGGGGAAACCTTCTTCATATAAGAACAGACATGAAGGTCAGAAAGGGAAAGCCAGCGGCTGCTCAGACACCCTCATGGCGTGCAAATGGAAAGCTGGGCTGGATGAGGGGGGGGCGGCATCTGGGCTGACCTGATGATGAAAGGGCCTCTTTCTTCCAGGAGCTTCCGTGAACCTCTTGAGAAGGTTGATCATGAACTTATAGAAGTAGGAGTTCATGGTGGGAGTGGAAGGAGAACATTCTAAGCCTTTGGTACCTGTAGAAAAAGGGACAGAGCCAGCGTTTATTCTGATGGTGTGTTCACAGAGCAATGAGAACCAAACAAAATATAAACGATTTGAAACATCAAAAAGGTGTGTGTGTGTGTGGGATCTGTGTGTAACACGATGAAGGAAAATCTTGTTAAGTATTAAGGATCAACAGAACAAAGGGCAAGACTTCTACCAACTACGTATTTTCATGACAATGAGTGCTATAAAGAAACCATACGTGGATGGCAAGTATTTTTACACCAAAATAAACTCCAACTCTCATTCCATTTTTCTGAGAGTTTTTGAGGTCTCCTGGTACAAGGAAATATGATACTGTTTCCTACAAAAGGACCATTTACCTGCCCACCCCTCATCGCGCCCAGACTACTTAGGGAACACCTCTTACCTGTAAGGCCCTGCTGGCAACCATGTTTTTTTTTTTTTTAAAGAAGTGTTTGCCTTAGGGCACATGCGCTTGCTGGAGAGAGAGACAGATGGTAAGATGGAAAGTGAGAAATCACCCCTAAGAGGGGATGACCATGCTGCAACCCCTTCTCCATTTGTCTCTACGGATTTTGGGTACACACGCACAGGCGCCCGGCATAATTTTCAAGCCATCGGTCTGGGACTCAAATTTTGGCCAGCCATGTGAGAGTCCAGCGATTTAACTGTTACGCCATCTGCTGGTCCTCCCCGCCATGACTTTAATTGCCAGAGGATGCACATGCTTACCATAGGGAGATGGAGAGACAGAGTGACAAGACAGGGAAAGAAAGAGCCCCCTAATAGGGCACGGTCATGCTGCAATCCCTTCTCCTAACGATTTGAAACATCAAAAAGGTGTGTGTGTGTGTGTGATCTGTGTGTAACAAGATGAAGGAAAATCTTGTTAAGTATTAAGGATCAACAGAACAAAGGGCAAGACTTCTACCAACTACGTATTTTCATGACAATGAGTGCTATAAAGAAACCATACGTGGATGGCAAGTATTTTTACACCAAAATAAACTCCAACTCTCATTCCATTTTTCTGAGAGTTTTTGAGGTCTCCTGGTACAAGGAAATATGATACTGTTTCCTACAAAAGGACCATTTACCTGCCCACCCCTCATCGCGCCCAGACTACTTAGGGAACACCTCTTACCTGTAAGGCCCTGCTGGCAACCATGTTTTTTTTTTTTTTAAAGAAGTGTTTGCCTTAGGGCACATGCGCTTGCTGGAGAGAGAGACAGATGGTAAGATGGAAAGTGAGAAATCACCCCTAAGAGGGGATGACCATGCTGCAACCCCTTCTCCATTTGTCTCTACGGATTTTGGGTACACACGCACAGGCGCCCGGCATAATTTTCAAGCCATCGGTCTGGGACTCAAATTTTGGCCAGCCATGTGAGAGTCCAGCGATTTAACTGTTACGCCATCTGCTGGTCCTCCCCGCCATGACTTTAATTGCCAGAGGATGCACATGCTTACCATAGGGAGATGGAGAGACAGAGTGACAAGACAGGGAAAGAAAGAGCCCCCTAATAGGGCACGGTCATGCTGCAATCCCTTCTCCTCCACCTCTCCCTTCTTTCAGGGTTTTGGGCATGTATTTGCAAGTGCCCAGTGTGTTTCTCAAGCCACTGGGTCTGGGATTGAACCAGGCAGTCAGTCATGTGGGCATCCAAAGCTTCAATCACCACGTCACAGGCTGGCCCAGTTTTTTTTTTTTTTTTAAGCAAACGTACCAAGATTTCAGTACATTGAATGCACTTGGACTTACTTAGGCCAGTTAAGGACAAACGACAGGTACAAGAGCATAAAGCAGTGAGAGGCAGGAGATCGCAACAAGCCCATGAGCGGTAAACCCAAACTCCTCCCCCAGCATCGCAGAAGAGGGGAGTCATGCGCATGCCCACCAGATTAAAGCCAGCGACGGGCGAATGCTCCACAGCGTTTTCATCTGCACCTAATGTTTTCAAATCGAACAGTCTTCCTTCCTTATCTTCAGGCAGAGATGCTCTTTCAGGGCGGCACTTTGAACACTTTCTAAGTCCTGAGTTGGCTTCATAACCAGAAGCACAAACGTGTCCCTCTCTGATGTGTCCCAGCTGGAAACACACTGAGGGCCAGATCTGCCACCTCCTGGGTCACCCCTGCACACGTTCCCCTCTGTAAGCTCCCAGCAGAGGGGACAGGGAAGGACTGACAGAGTGCTCCTGCGGTCCCATGTAGGGGGTCTAGACCCCCGGGGATTCTGCTCCTTCCTTCCTAGAATTATTTATTTAATTAAAAACATATTGTTATAGGGTATGTGCGTGTGCAAGTGAGAAAGCAAACCTCCAGGTCCGGGACTCGAACTGCAGTCAGCCGTGTGGGAGTCCAGCACCTTTAACTGCCACACCACCTGCTGCTCTTCCTTTCTAACAGAAGCTGCTCCTAACCACACCGCTAGACGAGGTGACTGGGATGGTAGGAACCCGCACGTGGTCTGCTCAAGGCACTAACAAGGTATCTCAGGTAACGCTGCATTGAGCAATAGTTCACAGATCACAACAGTCACCCTTTTAAAGAGCACGATCTAGGCACCAGCAGATGGCGTAATGATTACGTGTTGGACTCCCACAGAGTTGACAGTAGTTTGAGTCCCAGACCTGGTAGCTTAAAATTCACACTGGGCACATGCGCATGTGTGCCCAAAATCCCGAGGGGAATGAAGAAAGGACTGTGCTGTGGCCATTCCCCTCAGGGAGTGATTTCTTGCTTTCCCTTGGTCTCTGTCTCTCTGGCAAGAACACGTGCCCTATAGCAAACATCTCTCTAAGAAACAGTACAATCCGGTGGGCTTTTGAACACTCACAAAGCTGCACATCAATCACTGTTAATTCCACAACATTTTTATCAACCCCGAGACACCCTGTACCCATTAGCAGTCACCCCACTTCCTTTCTCCTGCCCCCGAAAACCACTCATCTACTTTGTCTCTCCGGACTGGCCTATTCTAGACACTTGATACAAACTGAACCTTACGGTACATGACTCCTTTCCCTAAGCATGTTGTTTCCCAGGCTCATCCGTGTTATAGCATGACCAGTTTCTTCCTCGTTTTCACGGGTAATCGTTCGTTGTATGGTCCAGACTTTGTGTGTCTGTTCATTAGTTGGTGGGTATTTGGACGATTTGCTTTCTTGCTATTATCAATAATGCTATGAACATTCATGTACATGACTTTTTGTGTATGGACACGTGTTCGTTTCTCCTGGGTGTACACCTAGGGATGGAACGGTTGGGCCGTGTGGGAACGTACGCACAGCTTGTCAGGAAGTGCTGGGTTGATTTCCGTAGTGGTCGCTCCATTCTGCATTCTTACCAGCAATGGATGGGGTTCCAATTTCTCTGTTCTCCTCGACACGTGCCACTTTCTGTCTCTCTGATCATAGCCTTCCTAGTGAGAGTGGTACCTTGGTGTGGGTTTGACTAGCATTTCCCTAATGGTGGGACACTGATGTGCTTATCGGTCGTTCGTATACACCCACCTTGTGTCCATTTAAAAATCGGGCAGTCTTTTTATTGTTGGGTTATAAGGGTTCTGTAATACAACTCTCTTTTTTTAAAACAATTGTTTTAGATTTACTTAAGATTATTATTATTTAAAAATTTGCAATAGGGCACACATGCTCAGCAGACAGAGAGAGAGAGGGAAAGTGAGAAAGCAAGTCTGCAAGTAAGTCCAGGACTCAAACCACGGCTGGACATGTGAGCCCAGCGCCTGAACTGCCATGCCACACCCGCTGGCCCAAGATACAACTCTCGTAGCAGATACGCGATCTGTGGATACTTCCTCCCTTTCCCTTTCTTAATGGTGTATGTTAAGGTACAAACATTTTAAATTTTGGTTAAGTTGAATGTGTCTATTTTTTCTCTGGTTGCTCATGCTTTTGGTGTCAAAATTAAGAAATTATTACCTAATACAAAGCCATAAGATCTCCTGGTGTCTTGGATCTAGCCTTTGTTCATTTTTGTATTGGTACATAGTGTGAGAAAGGGGTCCAGATTCTTCTGCACACAGATGGAAATCTATTGGGTCATCAGAAAAGTCATGATGCATTTTTGCATAGAAAACTATTTCATGACTTTTCCGATGACCCAATAGCTGTCCCAGTATAACAGGACATCCTAATTGCTACCGTTTACTGAGCACTTACTACGTGCCATACATGTCTAAACCCACACACACAGTACTCAACGCAACCCTCAAAATACTCCTATCTATGCACAGAGAAGTTAATGAGGCTGAGAATTTTCCAGCCTAATTCTCAGAGCTGATGAGTGAAAGTCTTCGAAGCCACGTTCTTGGCAACCCTGCCAGGCTGCCCATCTCCTGGGCACTGGTGTTGGGGCAGGTTAGGGCTCCACAGGTAAGGAGCTGGGCACGGAGGTGGAAGATAGCACAAAGACCGAAGTCAAAGTCCTGCTAAGCCGAGACTGAGGACCCAGCGATAATGACATTGCCAAGAGCGGTAGACACAGCAGCTGGCCACAGCCCTCCAAGAATTCAGGGAGGACACAAGGGGAAGCGGAGTGGCCAGCCCCTCTGGTCCAGGAGCACTGGGGAGTTGCAGCTTTCTCCCTGAGCTGGGCAGGGGACGGCCAGGCACCGGCATGAACCAGTCCGGAGGCAGGGGCTCTGGGAACCACACCTCGCTGTGGGAGGCCACGTCTGCTCCCAGAAACATCGGCCCAGATCACAAAATGTGAACACGTGTGGGACCCGCCAGGCATTACTTGTGAGTCTCACAGAGGAGCGAGTGGCCATGGGCTGGTTTGATCACATAAGTGGCCAGAAAGCCGCAGCGACACTCTCCTTGCGGGAGTCCTGTCCTTTGCCAGCTCAGACTCTTCCAGGTCCCCTCACGGTCTTGTGAGAAGTGGCTGGAAACCGGAGAAGGCGCTGTTTTGTTTCCCTGCGGTGGGTTACTCTAGGAAAACTCCTCTCCAGGGGCCACACCTCCGACTATAATCCCCA